TTGCAAAACACAAGGTATAAGTTTCGGATTTATAGAAACACGTGGGTGAAAGTCAAATTAAGAAAAGGACACGTTTTTGGAATATTTTTCCCCAGTTTTTTAATAAAGTACTTGTGACGAACTAAATGCAGCTAGTGATCCTGCGTTCACACCCCTTAGTTTATGTGTACCCTTACTGCTATAAAGAGCACAAATGTGAATCTCCAAATGGTAATACATAAAAGAAAAATACTAGTATCACTCTTTCTGTCACTCTCTACATTTAGTACTGTTGATACATAAAAAAGAAAATTAACATGATTAGTTTGGTTTTGAGCAAAAACAAAAAAAAAAATGATTAGTTTTGTGCATAGATACTTTCTTAGTAAATATAATTGATAGCACATGATATTCCAGATCTATTTCTTGCATGCAACTAATTATCAACATGTTTCCATGTCACTTCTCAAAGAAACCCTTTTATCAAATTTATGTCAAAGAAGAAAAGCGTGATTGAAGAGTTTGTTGGACGTTTGTAGTGTAGCTATCAAGAAGTAAAATAAAACAGCTGCATTATAAGAGCAAGGCTACTTGTTATGCACTTCAAGAATATAAAACTGTTATTTGCTCGTTACTTTGTGGAAAGCGTCTATGGATATCTAGCAGTATACTACTAGCTACGTTTTAATATTCTAAATCTATACAGTACTACTGATATTTTTTTAATACACAATAAATGGAGAGAAGAATAATCCTCCAGTCAAATTTATTAAAAAGAAAGAGAAAAACAAAATAAAAAAAAGTTCAGAAACTAGCTACAATGAAACAAGAAAAAAAAAAAAAACTACGAAAAGGCCAACAAGAACAACCGGAATATTATGACATGAGCCAATCTCATTTTATTTCCGCAACTTGATAGCCCTCCCACTTCAAACATGAAGAGCAAAGAGGCCAAATGATATTTGAGCAAAGAGGAAATTTAGGTTCTTATAAAGCTTCAATTAAACCAAACTTGTTATTGATATACAATTAGGGTTTCGATGGCTACACAGAGCTACTAGTCAAAGAACCCACAGTTGATCATCCATGTATGATTTTGTTAACGTTGTTGACATGATTACAAATAGTAATTTATTGTTGAGCTTTCAAAAAAAAAATTACTTAATTGTTGAAAAATTCCCATGCCATATAGTAATCATTTTGTTATGTAACCAAAAAAAAAAACTTATATTATGACAAAAAACTGATAAAATAAGTTTGCGTACGTGAAAAAGATTAAGAACACGATAACTTCATGAACACGATTGTAAAAATCGCGTTATGGTCATCCTCTTTCGATGTCTCGCCTTATAAATTTAAAACGACTTTATTGACTGTCGATTATATTATAGTAGTTGTTTGGTATTTGTCACGGTCGACGCAGCATCTAGAAACCAACAAAGAACCCTAGAAACCACAAATTGGTCATGTTTCATTCTTCACACGTTACTTGTCAAGCACTTCAAATAAACAATACCATGTGCTTATTTCCTTCATCTAAAAAATCGTTACATACTTCCGGGCCTACTCATATAATCATATCACAATGATATAGCATTTGTTGAATTACGTACTCAAGTAACAATTTTGTTTTCTTGTTAGGGCGTTATTGCGAGGGCAAGAAACAAGGATCAAAACAAGATTGAGATAACCTAAACTGCTCCCAAACTGGGTGCAAAATATTCAAAAAAGTAGTTGAATATATCATGCAATCAATTACGGACTTGTGTTTTTGTAGTCCCCAGCATCACTACTTACTAGAGCTACTTATTGTCTACGTAATAATTAAGTTATAAGTCATATTGTATTTTAACTACTTGTTGGCGTATGTTTTTCACCTTTTGTTTAAAGGCACCAAACTTCTTCGCCATTTTATCTCTATATGTATGTATATCTATATATATGTGTATATATGTATATATATGTATATATATATATATATAACTATATGATCAGCTATATGGTAGGTTGGAACTTGGAAGACTAGATACCCAACACTCATTCCTATATATAATAAGACTTTTATTTGTACTTCTACAGCAATCAAGCTTAGAAGAAATTCAGTGTATTTGCTTCGCATATGCTCGTTTTGTACTCTTATCTTGATCAGGGCGTTAATAGATTTGGATGCTGAAATTATAATTATATACTATTTTCAGTATATTCGCATTATAGATATATTAATTACTATTCTTGCTTGTTGGAACGTACCCTATATTATTAAATGGTCTTAAAGTTTCTAGCTGAAATACTACTTTTGGAAAGAAAATGAGGGTACATAACTTAGACAAAGGTTAGCGTCACTTTTTTTGTCACTTTTTGCATTCACTGTTTAATACGTGGACTCTACTATCTCATTTTCTGTTTCAATAATGATATATCATGTTAGTAGTTGATTCCACGTGTAAAATAGTAAATACAAAAAGTGATAAAATCAATGACAGAAAAAGTAACTACCATTTCTCATATAACTAAATACTTCATTGCTTGTTATTACATATAAGCCACATTTAAGTTTTTCTTATATATCATGTTTAAGTAGTTATGAAAAGAGTCGCTCCAATATATCTCCTTTTTAATTAAAAGTGGTGGTTAGGCCGGGTGCACGCAATTTCTTGAGAAAAACATGCAATGCATGTACCCAAAAGTACAAATGTAGTAGGGAATTTATGTAGAGAAAACTACATTTTTTTTCCTCTTAAATTTCTATTTCAGGAGAATCGAGAAAGTATGGTAACCGTTTTGGCTATCAGTTATCAAGATATATAAACCTTTGGTACATATTAACAGAAACTCTATAAGTAACTTTTAATATATATATATATATATATATAATTGATTCATTGTCACTAAAATAATAAGCTTTTTATATAGATAGATAGCTAGACACCTTTTATACACATGATCAAGTTTTAAGTAGATTAATTGGCGGGCTTTAATTTATCAAATATGGCAGGATGTACAATTTGAAAATCAAAGATTTTTTATCAATGAAATTTGGTGAGTCCAAAATTTACTACAAAACCTAAAATCTAAAATTGCCTCTAGTCAAGTAAACAAAATAGTTACCAATTAAGTAAGTAAATAACTGAGTAATTATATTTATCGATTCTCTTACTTAGTAAATATATATTTTTATATATCGAGTATTTATCGATTTAATTACGAGAGTGGACTTGTGGTTTTCTCAATTTGTGTTTTTATTCTTTATGATTTTGGTTTTTCGAACACTTCAAATAAAAATTTTAAATGTTCCAATGAGAAACCCAGAGGAAGCACAAACTCAACCGGGCAGTACTCAAGGACATCGGTTACCGAAATTTGCTATATCATGTTCAAGTTGGACGGTAAAAGATACTTGTAGTATTTGGAAAGTGGCCACAAATTATATCATAGTAGGAGGGAAAATCCAGAGGTATATATACTTCTAGAAATGGAGCATAAAGATTATTTCCTTCTAATTAAAACGCTTTAAGATTTCTCCCTCACTTTCTCCTTTTAATATTAACTTAAGAGGGATAAAATTCTAGGAAAAGCATAAAACTAAAAGAAAAAACTAGCTAAATGGAGTTTTTTTACCACCTCTTTTCATAAATGATCAAACTTTTTTAATTTTACAAAAATGATAGTTTTGTTTATAAAAGTTAATCAGTGATTGACCCCACAGTCAATTAATTATTGACCTCAGTTAATCAGTTATCAATGGTCAATCAATGATTAACCGTTTCATTATTAGAAAATGATAGTTTTGTTTATAAAAGTTAATCAGTGATTGACCCCACAGTCAATTAATTATTGACCACAGTTAATCAGTTATCAATGGTCAATCAATGATTAACCGTTTCATTATTAATTTATCAATAATTTATCATTAATAAACCTGCAATTTGTTTATTGAAATTGATTAATTATTAATTAATTTTTGTTAATTTTTAAGTAATATGTTAATTTGTAATGAAGAATTATCGAGTTAATCAATGATAAATTAAAGTCAATCATAAGCCGTTAAGTAAATCAATGACTGAACGTTATTAAGTAAATCAGTGATTGACTACAAAGTCAATTAATTATAGACCGTTAAGTCAATCAGTGATTGACTATTAAATTAATCAAAATGTCATTTTTGTAATTTTATAAAACCTCGGTCATTTATAAAAAAAAAAATCATTCACAAATATATTGTTATATTTGTAATTTTATGTAGTAATTATTACGATATTTTTTTTCAGAATTTATATTAAAAAATTACACAATAATTATTGTTATAATTATAATTTATTATTTGTCATGTATTTTAAATTCATGTTATATTTTCAATGCGATTAAAAGCTAAGTAATTTTTTATGAAAATATTTAACTTATTTTAAAATATTTATGGTACAATAGCATATATATATATTATATACGATAAATGATAAATTTAAAAAGCATATGTACGATAAATTTAAATTTATTTTACAAATAAATCATTTACCTTAAATAGGATACTTATTAAAACATACTGTTTACAGCAAGTTTTTAGAAAACTGGCTGTTTGCTATAATTTATGTGTAAAATTATGCATCATTACCCACCCCAAAAAAAAAAAATAAAGCTTAGGTCCCGTTTATTTTATCGATTCGAGTTTAAAATTTGAGTTTTATTACAGTAAAAAGCTCTCAAAAATAGTCACATCTAACTTTTTTACTACAGTAAAAAACTCTCACATAAAATCACATCTCAACTCAAATTACAAACTCGAATCAGTAAAATGAACGGCCTTTAATCTCTCTCTCTTTTCTCTCTTTTAAGAAGAAAGTCGGCAAAAAGTTCGGCCCAGCAAAAATTAAAATGAACGGCCTTTAATCTCTCTCTCTCTTTCTCTCTTTTAAGAAGAAAGTCGGCAAAAAGTTCGGCCCAGCAAAAATTGAGCCCAAGCCCAAATCCCTCCCATTCAGCCATGATACAACATTATTAGTTTTCAGTTGCTTTGTTCTGTTCCCTCCTAAACCTTTTTTTCTGTGTCGCAGCTGATCTGCGTTTCGGTTCTCAAAAGATTTCCCAATCTCCACCAGGTACTTTCATATGAATACGATTCTTCTTAAGCGCTTTTCTTTTTCCCTTATCTCTTCTTTGAAGTCTTTTGACACTGTTTTTTATTGCTAATTGCGATTTTTTTATTCTGTTTTCTTAGAAAGATATTTGCTGATTTTTTTTTTAATTAACTAGTCACGTAAAAATCATCTAAAAGGTGGAAATTTTCTTATCAATTTAATTATCGGTTGATGCTGGTATTTGTTAAGTCGTGGGCATTCCATGCTCACCAATTGTTTGTATTAATTCCTCTGAGAAAGAAACATAAAAACATTGACAAAAATTGATGCATATATTATCACCCATTGGCACTACTTAGTCAATTCAAATTTCCCACCAAGAATTTCTGTCTCAAATCACATTAGACCGTTCAAATTTGATGCATTTGTAATGGTATTTCATTTACAATCCTTTGTGCTTCTCTAATCTTTGAAGTTGTGGCAACTGGCATCCTTGTTAACTTACCTTTTGATCCTTTGTGTAAGAATCAATTTAACATGAATAAGTTTCTTATGTAGTTTTCACATTATTTGCGATGCACTCTTGAGTTATTAACTCTTAACGTAGTCACAACTTTTGCAGTTATTAAGAAAAGAGAGAGAGAGAGAGTTATGTTGGAGAATGAGGCAAACCCGACTCTTAGCAAGTCAACTGGTCTGCCCCGAAAGCGTTTCTACCGAGCTAGAGCACACAGCAACCCTCTCAGTGACTCCCACTTTCCCATACCAATCTCCCCCCATCATGTGGACTATTCTCTTCACTATCCACAATTCTTTCCGTCGCCGGATCAAACTGATAGCTCCAAGAAGATCCAATTTGCAGATATCGGTTGTGGATTCGGGGGGCTTCTAATCAGTCTTGCCACCCTTTTCCCCGAAACTCTGATGATAGGAATGGAGCTTAGGGATAAAGTTACAGAGTACGTCAAAGAAAGGATTCTAGCTTTAAGGACTGCAAATCCAGGTCAATACCAAAATGTATCGGTGGTTCGGACAAATTCAATGAAGTACATTCCGAATTACTTCGAGAAAGGACAGCTTTCAAAGATGTTTTTCTTGTTCCCGGATCCTCACTTCAAGGAGAAGAATCACCGCCGTCGGGTGATCAGTCGTTTCTTGCTGGATGAGTATGCTTATGTTCTACAAGTTGGTGCGGTTATATACACTATAACGGATGTTGAAGAACTTGGAGAGTGGATGAAGACTTGTTTAAAGGAGCACCCCATGTTTGAAGCCCTCACATCCCAAGAGCTCGAAGCGGATCCAGTTGTCAAGCTCTTGAGTTCGGCGACCGAGGAAGGACAGAAAGTTGCTAGAAATGGAGGACAGACTTTCCGAGCAGTCTACAGGCGTATTGCTCCATCCTTATGATGCAACAATACTTTCGCTGCTGTCCTTTTGAATTTTTGATGATTAGCTTAGTACTTTTAGTGCATTGGTATTGAATATTTTCTAATTGACTTAAGATTTTGCTAAATTATCTTACATCTCAATCGTCGGGTTAAGATCTCGGGCAAAACAACTGAAATTTCGTAGTTCTATTGGTTATTGTGACATTGAAGTTTTTCTTTGCTGAGTTGTTAAGAGTGCAATTGGCATAATGGCATTGTACTTTAGTTATGGGCATTATGTTTCTCCTGCTTATCTTCAGCAAGTTGTGGTGCGTTATTGTTGCAATATTTTTAAGTATTTAATTTCCGATACTCATATTATTATTGTTATTGTTCTTATTGAAGTGAATCATATTGTACCTTAGCAGAATTTTCAGAGAACTTTGTAAAATAATAATAATAATAATAATAAAAGGACTATTAAATTGTTCGTTCCAAATTGTTGATAAATTTAGCATCCTTCAAATAACCTGGTGTTTATGCACAAACCTAGAAAGAAATTGATGGGACTAGGTTGTGATTGTCATAGTTTTTAATATATCCAAATACCTACATACTACAAACTACAAAGTTGCCATAAACTACTCCTTTATCCTTCCATCCGATTGTTATAATTACCCAGGGAAAAAGGTACAACTTTCTTCTTTATACTCTCTTACTAAACTACGCATAGTCCTTTTTTTCCATCTATTTTAACGATGAATCATGATTGGTGGAAAGACTAATTTGGAATAATTTCATAAATTAATAACTTTTTTTCCGTCGTAAAATAGGGTCGTTAGTTCCTCACTGACGCTCCCATCCGCCTATAGCAGGAATCAACTAATTCTACAGGTGCAATGGTAAATGATCTAAATCTATTCTTCATTCGTTCACAACTTAAGTTTTACCCATTCATACTGCCCTTTATACCCACTCATAAGTGAGCGTTACCACTTTTAAGTTGAAACTCTTTTTGTGAGGACATGAGGACTTAAACCTGACTGTGAATAAAGGATATTAGGCCCCATTTTTTTCGATGATTCGAGTTTAGAATTTGAGTTTTTTTACAATAAAAAACTCTAAAAAATAATCACATCTAACTTTTTTACTACAGTAAAAAATTCTCACACAATATCACATCTCAACTCAAATTAAAAACTTGAATTAACTAATTCCATACTACCGCCACCGATGGTTAAACCAATAACTTGTTATAAGATGTTTCGAACATTTTGGATTAAAATGGAACTTGTCCCACAGTTGGAGGACCATTTTATTAAAAGAAAAGTAGACAAATACAAGTCTTGATTTTTATCATTTATTTTTATTAATACCTTTTTAATTAAATAATTAATGATAAAAATTTAGACCCGTAAGTTCAACAATTTTATCTTTTATTAACTCCAAATAAAACGACAGTAAAATACGAAACGACATCGAAAGGATATGAACAAGATTTTTTTTTTTTTTTTTTTTTTTTTTTTTTTTGCTGGGAATGAACAAGAGATTTTGTACACCCATATTTAAATGTTTATAGCAACTTCCGAAAATATGAGCAGAGAGAGAAATTGGACAATAACAGTTCAATCAATCAGTACGGAGGCTATGGCGACGAACAGCAGAGAAGCTCGGAGGAAGAAGATCATGGAGAGAAGCTCCGACCGCCTTGCCCTCATCACCAGTCGCATCCAAACCCTCCCATCTTCTTCTTCTTCTTCTTCTTCTCCATCGCCATCAGCAGATCTCCAGCCCTTTGACTCCCAATCGAATCTCTCCTACGCAACCAACGGTACTCTCTCTCTCTCTCTCACTCACTCATAGTCCACATTCCATGGTGAAATTTTCTGTAATTTTGTAATTGAATTCGTCATTGGAATCTTTGTGTTTGTTTAGATGAAAATTTGATTTTGTGAGGGTTTGTTGGTATGCTTTACTTACATTCTTGAATAAAACTGTTATGTTGGGGTTGAATTGAGATAGAGCGTTTATTCAGGGATGAATTTTATTCAATTAATTGGTAGCCAGAAATTTTGGCTCAGACGCCAAATTCTGCTGTGTGGAGACTGAGAATTTACTTAACCTTTGCTCAAATGAAGTTTGCACTTTGGACCTTGTTAGAAATCTGATAGGAATTGGTCGATATGTGTACCAATCTTAATATGTGTTTTGAGTCGTGATACAGTATATTATTGAATTTACTGAGTTATTGGGTTCTTTGACAAGCATCATGCGATCTTAATCAGTAAAATTTGGTTGAACTTGAACTTGCTTTATAAGTTCTTCCTTTTCCAAGCTGAAATTCACCTTAACCGTGTCATAATTCCATAGATTTTGATAGATTGTGTCATTTTTTGTAACCGTGGAGATTCTTCCCTTGATTTGGTTGAAATCGGTTTCACTTCCCTTAAAACTTTGACCTCTGTGTTACTGTGAAAAAAAAAAATGGAGACTAGAAATTTATGCTGTTTTTCATTGCTCCTAATGTTCTGCAGTTTCCTCTGATGGAGAGGATAAGACATCTAGCTCTTTGCTGCCAGAAGACAATCACAGCACCAATGCTGGCCAGACTAAGGCTGATTTTGGTGGAAGCACTCCCATACCATCCTTAAGCAAATCTGAGACTAATCCTGAGGCCATACAAAGTCCTGCTTCGGAAAGCGGCGTATTGAGATCAGATTTGTTCTCATCAACAGATCGAAGTACATATGTTTCTAATTTGGCTACAGAAAGACATGTGCAACCCCAGGCGGAGAAGCGTAACTTTTTCAGTCCAAGTCAAATAAGTTCTGCCTTTGCAGCTACGGAGACTACTCGCCTTTGTTGTTCTGTAGCAGTAGCGCTCCTAGTCGTTTTATCATATCTAGGATTTCCTATACTAAGCATAAAGATCATAAGCAGCAGTTTGAGCTTCAGGCCTCTCTATCTAGTTTTGCTAACAAATGTAACAGTCGTCATCGCACAACTTCTTGGTAAACAGAGAAGTTTGGGAAGGGCTGATAGAGGAGGAAATACAACACCAGCAGCCGGCGGAAATGATTGGACTGAACAACTAGGCAAGACTTTAGAGATAGGTTTGCTGATTCAGAGGGTAGCTGATGCTGTGTTCATGGATTGTGCTGTTTATGCGGTAATTGTTGTGTGTGGCCTCTCTTTCACTCAGAAATTCCGCTAGGAAAATCTTTGTTTGGAATTTTTAAATTAAGTCGATTCATTCTTCTACTATTGGCTGTTGAGGAACATTGTAATCTTGTGCGGAAAAAATTATGAGGTTATGACAACACTTTCAAGTCGTATTACTTTGCTGATTATTGTGATTGGAGTTTTGTTTCCTTGAACTTTGACACTGTAGATATTGGTTTGCAATTGGCATGTAATCCAAGCATTCAGGTTGACAATCTATTTACTCAATTCCAGTTTTTTTGCAAATAATTTATGAAACGAACACAGATTTATAATTACCATAGGAAGGTAGGAGAGGCAGGGGCAGCCTCGAGAGCTGCGGGTCCTTGCCACTGCATGAGTGGTAGCTCCCGCTCAAAAACTCGCCCAACATGAATCTACAAGACTAACACACGCAGTATGAAGGTTTTCTTTTGCATGAGTCATGAGTCCCTCCTTCCTTCCCTCTTCCCTTCATCTCCTTCCACGCTTTCCACTCTTTTTATGACACAACAACCTGACTTGTTGAGATTTGCCGAATCCACATTTGGATACATAGTATACAGCTTAAATGAATCTGTCTTTATTATGCTGTATCTGGTGTTAGAATGATGTTGTGACATTAAGAAATAAGAGAACATGTAAATTGAATTAACACTGCTCAGCAAAAACTATAAAGGGCCGTTTAGAAGATATACTTAGACCATGATTCTTGATTATGATATTTGAAATTCAAATTTTTTGTGAGAGAAAAATACTGTAGCATAATATGATTTGAATTTGAGTATATGAAACAAACGGGCCTAAATCAAAAAAGTAGTGTTTAGAGACTAGGATCACCAAAACAAAGGTAAACTGAGAAAATGTTAATAAAACATTCCAAATATTCATCCTGAAGAGACGAATCATTCATTAGTTGTATTCATGTGTGTAAGAGGGAGTTGAAATATGTCCAAACAAACAGGCAACATTCAAAATTGATAACGAAAGAAAGAATTTACAAAAATGGTTAGTATTCTATAAGGATTAGTAGAGTCTATGAAGCTTTGCTTCTTGCAGTCTGCTGATGATACGTCCAAATATATTCTGTGCGTGTACATATAATAACAATAATCCCATACATTACCGATCATCCACCAAATCGAGTGCCTCTTTGAACTTTCACAATCTCATGAGTAGCTGAGGAGCCATTAGAGGGAGCCATTTGCGGTTCGGGCAAAGACTGATTTGAGCTTCTGAAGAAGTTTCTTGATTTTTAACAAGAACCCATCTTTCTGCCCAAAATGGTATTGTTATTTTAACAGTTAAAACATTCTGTGGTCGCACTCATAAATTGCTTCTAACGTCTGTTAGCTTGAGGGTATGCTTTCACTACAATCCTCTGATGCGATTCCTATCATGTCCTTGTTAGTAACGTTTTGATGGGAAACAAGCAGCTCTAGCATTGAGAAAAGATCTTTGGAACATGGTTTCGTATCATCACCTGATACAAACTCTTCAACCACATTATTAACTTCGATCAAACTGCACCCTGGGGTTTTCTTCATGCTCTTGCTTCTTATGAGTTTCCTGATCTTTGACACCCCCTCCCACATCCCAACTTCCGCGTAAACATTGGAAAGCAACACATAGTTCCCTATATCATCTGGTTCAATCTCTAAAAGGTGTTCCATGGCAACGATAGCAATTTCAACATTGCAATGAATCCTGCAGGAATTCAACAAAGAACCCCAAATCTTTGAATCGGGTTTCATGGGCATTTTCTTTACTATCTCAAGAGCCTGATCAAGGCGTCCCGAGCGTCCAAGAAGATCAACCAAACAACCATAGTGTTCAACTTCAGGCTCCAAATGATAATCCTTTCTCATGGAATCAAAGTACTTAAGTCCTTCATTCCAAAAACCGGCATGTATGCAGGCTGATAGAAGACCAAGAAATGTAATCCCATTAGGTTCAATTCGTGTTCTCTGCATGTCTCGAAAGAGTTCAATTGCCTCATGAGCTTTACCATGATTCGCCAGCCCCCCAATCATTGTACTCCAAGAAACAACATCCCTCTCCATCATCTTCTCGAACAACTGCAACGCTGGATCAATACAACCGCATTTTGCATACATTTCAATCAGAGCATTACAAACCCCAGTTGACCTCGACAAGCCATTCTTATCTGAGTAAATATGAATCCACTTCCCAATCTCAAGAACTCCGAGCTGCGCACACGCCGGCAACACCGATATAACACTGACCTCATCGGGCTCAATATCCAACATTTGCATTTCCCGGAAAATCTCCAGCGCCTCAGAATAGCATCCTATCCCGACGTACCCAGAAATCAGCACTGTCCAAGAGACAATACTCTTATCAGGCATTTCCTCAAACAATTCTCTGGCCTTCCTCATCTGTCCTAATCTAGCATACCCCGAAAGCAAACCATTCCAAGAGACTAAATCTCTCTCACGCATTTCCTCAAACAACTTATGCGCATATTCCAAACTACCACATTTCATGTACATATCCATAAGTGCATTATCAGTAATGGAATGAGACTTCGTCCCAAACTTCCACACATGGGCATGAACTTGCCTGCCCAGAGAAACACAAAGAAGCCCAGCACAAGATTTCACCACAAACGGGAACGTAAACTTGTTGGGCAACATGGGATTCTTCTCATCTTCCGAAATTTGGCTCACCATTTGCTTATAGAGAATCAAAGCTAGAGAATATCTACTATTATTAGCGTAGGCTTTGATGATTGCGTTGTACAAAAAAACGTTTCCTTGGACCACTTGTTGGAAGAGCAAACTAGCGTACTCAACTTGCCCGGTCTTGTCGCAGACATCGACCATTTTGGTGACCAAGAAGTTGCTCTGCGACAGGGAAAACTTGACGATGAGGGCGTGGATTTTCTTCAACGTTTTTAAGTGGGTGCAGTTTCTGAAAGTGGGCAAGAAGAGATTCTCCAATTCTCTTATGGTTGAAGCCAAGATTAACGTTAGCATTGGTGCTTGGGGAAGAGAATATTGAGGAGGGAATTATCAATTTCCTCGTTTTTCATTTAAAACGAACGTTAACAAAAAAATAAGGATGTTCAAGAACAACACTACACAATAGAGCACTTGAGTTTGTGTCTTGGGAATAGTGGTGAATGAATGCAGAAGAACAGAACAGACGTTGGATTAAGACATTACTGCTTTGAGGACTCCTGTTTTGTACTTTGTAGAGTTCCAAATCAGTTGACAAGGAGAATCAAAACGTGCGCATTTGGAGAAGGACGGAAACGACAAGCTAATGGAGAAAACGACAATAAGAGTACGGAAACGATGATGAATGAGAAGGACATGAATGATGAAAACTAAACGAGTAAATCAATAAAACGGCATCAAAGGGAATGAAGAAACAACAAGGGCAATCAATAAAACGACAACAAATTGGAGAATAACGACAAGAAAGAAACAACAAAAAGTGAATAAACATAGAAAATTGTAAGGAAACGGACGACTACAAGAAAACGACACCAAATAGGAACGACAAACAATATAACAGCACGAAAAACCGAAACGACAGAAGCACCTAAAGTTTTATTACACGACTGTAGAAAATGAAATGGCCGAAACACATAAAAAAATTAAAAAAAAAAGACCAAAACACATTTAAAAAGGAGAGAGAGAGAGAGTCAGAAGGAGACGAAAAGGAAAGCACACCAAAATAAAGAAAAGGAAACAATATACAAAACCACCAAAAAAATAAAGGCTTTTTTTAATCTGACACCGTAACTTTATGAATTTAACAAATAGGTTTTTCAACTTTTAATTTTAGCAATTCCTTTAAAAGTTAAAATTCGTTGTAATATTAGTTAAATTAATAACAAAGTTAAATATTCAAATATTCACACATTTAATGAGGCTAATTTTATTCTTTTTACATTAAATTGATTCTCATACATCATTGAGTGGAAATTTTTGAAATTAAAGAATCCTAATTTTTCCTCAAAACGGTTAAATTCTAATTTTATAAAATAAAAAAAAATCACTCACTGGCCTCATTAAACGTTTACGTAGAAAAAATCGCTCGAATTTTTAACTTCATTTTTAATTTGACTAATATTATAATAAATTTTAAAGTTTAAAGAATGAATTGTTAATATTAAAAGTTGAGAGATCAATTTGCTAAATGCGTAAAAATGAGGGCGTTTTCGTAAAAACAAGCCAAAAATAAAAACGACAGTTAACATAACAAAACAGTGGTTCAAAACTAGAACAGCTCATTAAATGTTTACGTAGAAAAAATCGCTCGAATTTTTAACTTCATTTTTAATTTGATTAATATTATAATAAATTTTAAAGTTTAAGAATGAATTGTTAATATTAAAAGTTGAGAGATCAATTTGCTAAACGCGTAAAAATGAGGGCGTTTTCGTAAAAACAAGCCAAAAATAAAAACGACAGTTAACATAACAAAACAGTGGTTCAAAACTAGAACAGACGCAGAAAGAACCCTCAAACCCCAGGCATTTTCCTTTTGCAGCGTATTTTTCTTTGATTATTTTTTAAATGAGTTTTTTTTTTTTTTTTTTTTTTTTTTAAAATGGAAGAGAAAAATATGGCAGTTAGTTTTAAACAAAAAATGCTCAGTAAAATAAATAGAAGGGCATTTTGGGGTGTCAAAAAATACAATTTAAAAAAAATACCATATATATGATATTTGAAAAAGTAAGCCACATTTTAATTCAACTCTTAAAAAAGGGTCACATATTGTAATTTTTACAGAGTTAATCATGTCCATGCGACAATTTAATTCACTCGAGATGTGAATCTCCACTTCTTAAGTGATTATGCTTTGTTGTGGGATCTCTTTGAGATGCACCAGAGGCAGATATTGGCCAATCTCCTCAGGAGCTGCTCAAAGAACTTGACACTCGATAAGGGATTAAAGTCTCATGGAGCAGTTTTAAGAATGGGATTTGCGTGTGATTTGATGTTGAACAATGATCTTATAAATATGTATGGCAAATGCGGTAAAATAGGCTCCGCATATGATGTGTTTGAAAAAATGCCTGAGAGAAACGTGGTTTCTTGGACGGCCCTGATGTGTGCCTACTTGCAGAATGGGAATGCCCAAAAATGCTTATCTGTTTTTTGCCAAATGGGTGCTTCGGATTCTAAGCCAAATGAGTTTACTTTCTCCACAAGTCTCAAGGCATCTGGGGCTCTTGGTATTGTTGAGTATGGGATGCAGATTCATGGCCTATGTGCTAAATCTGGTTTTGAAACGGTCATTGTGGTCGGAAATTCTATTGTTGACATGTATGCTAAATGCGGGAGGATCGCAGAAGCAACACTGATGTTTGAGGCGATGGCTGTTAAGAATCTTATTACGTGGAATACGATGATTGCGGGATACACGGTTGAAGAAAATGGAAAAAGAGCTTTGCTCTTGTTTCGTGAAATGCAAGAACAAGGGGAGGTCCCCGATGAATTCACGTTTACGAGTGCTCTAAAGGCCTGCTCTGGTCTTGGGGCCGTTCAGCAAGGAAGCCAAATGCATGCTTTCATAATCACAAGGGGCTTCACATATGATGCCCAGACCATGGTTGCAGGTGCTCTTGTTGATCTGTATGTCAAATGTAGACGCTTATTTGAGGCTCGGAGAGTGTTTGAGCAAATCAAGCAGAAGAATATAATATCTTGGAGTTCACTGATTCTTGGTTTTGCTCAAGAAGGCGATTTAGAGGAGGCCATGAACTTGTTCAAGCGGCTAAGAGTAAACGCACGCCATAAATTAGATGGGTTTGTTCTCTCAAGCCTGATTGGCGTGTTTGCCGATTTTGCACTCGTCGGTCAAGGTAAGCAAATACATGCTCTCTCCACCAAAATCCCGTCTGGTTTAGATATATCAGTAGCCAATTCAATCTTGGATATGTATCTCAAGTGTGGAGATCCAGATGAATCGGAAAGACTATTCAATGAAATGCCGGCCAAAAATGTTATTTCTTGGACAGTCATGATCACGGGCTACGGGAAGCATGGTTTGGGAGGAGAAGCTGTACGCCTTTTTAACAAAATGAGATCAGACAATATAGAACCTGATAGTGTGGCTTACTTGGCCGTGCTGTCAGCCTGTAGCCACTCTAGACTAATCAAAGAAGGCCAGGAAATATTTTCAAGATTGTGCAATGACCGCCGACTTAAACCAAAGGTAGAGCATTATGCGTGTATGGTAGATCTCCTTGGCCGTGCTGGACGACTAGAAGAAGCAAAGAATCTTATCATGAACATGCCACTAAAACCAAACATCGAGATATGGCAAACATTGTTGAGTGCCTGCAGAATACATGGAGGCATAGAATTAGCGCGAGAGGTGGGAGAGATAATTCTGAGATTGGATGGGGATAACACTGTCAACTATGTGCTGTTGTCGAACATCTTTGCCGATGCAGGGAACTGGAAAGAGGGTGAGAGATTAAGAAAACTGGTGAAGATTAAGGGGTTAAAGAAAGAGGCGGGTCGTAGTTGGGTAGAAGTTGACAAAGAAGTCCACTTTTTCTACAATGGAGACGATTCTCACCCACTCACAGAGAAAATTCATGAAGTCCTCAAGGAAATGGAGAAAAGGATGAAAGCGGAGATGGGTTATGTCCCTGGACTACGGTTTGCATTGCATGATGTGGAAGATGAGTCGAAGGCGGAGAGCTTGAGAGTTCACAGCGAGAAGCTGGCAATCGGATTAGCACTGGTTCATGGTAGGCTTGAGGAGAAGAAAATAATTCGTATTTTCAAGAACTTGAGAGTATGTGGGGATTGTCATTTGTTCATTAAGGGCTTGTCTAAGGTTTTGAAGGTGGTGTTCTTGGTTAGAGATGCAAACAGGTTTCACAAATTCGAAGATGGATTGTGCTCCTGTGGAGACTTTTGGTGATTCCAAACGTTTTGTTCCTTTCCTTTGTATGCACAGCCTTTGTACTAAGAAAGCACTCAATCAAATGATAAGTAGTTGAAGCTACCAATCTCTCTGGAACTGAGCAAAGCCAATCTGAGTCTGCCAATCTCATCCAAAAAAAAAAACAAGCATGTGCACAAGTAACCCTTATTAGACTACTTTTCTAATGAATGTCCCAAGATTTCTAAAATTAAGTGAATGGCCATTGTTCCTAAAAGAGTTTTTAGTAAGACGCACTTAAAATAAAAACCAGTGGATTATATTAGCAAAAATTAAAAGACTAAAAAGAAAAAAGAAACTAAACCAGTAGTTTCACTTACGAAAGCAAGTCTTCTATCAGTTTTTGCTTTAGTTATTAATTATTAAAAGAATATGACCTCGTTCGCTTCGCAGATTTAAATTTTCAATTCGAACTGAGATGTAATATTTTCTGAGAGTTTTTAACTTTAATAGAAAAAATTAAATGTAATATTTTCTGATAGCTTTTAACTGTAAAAATCTAAAACAAAAAACTCGAATCAGTGAAATAAATGAAACCTATAATAATTCGTAGCTTGACGTTGAGGCCTTCATCAACATTTCCTCCTCTCCCCCCTCTCGTGGAGAAGGAAAGGTGACATTTGGATGCAATTGTTGAAATATTTTTAAAAAGGCCATTCTCCAAATTTTAAAAACCTTGGGTCATTAGTTAAAGTGGGTGGCTCAAATCGGCCAACCACACTAATATCCCAAAAAAAAAAAAAATGGCCTAACCGTATTCGAAGAGGGAATAATCATAGTGAATTCACATTTGTTCTGATGATATAAATGGAAAAGGCGCTTTCTGTTAATTCGTGTGTACACCGGTGCAATGGCAATGAAACTTGCTGAAAATTTTTCTGATTTTGCTTTTAAAAAAAATAAAAAATAAAAAAAGAATTGATACAGACAAGACAACATTTCATAGACAGCATTTCACATAGATGGCAAGCTTAATTCATTTCTCTCTCCCCCCTCTCTCTCTCTCTCTCCTCCTGGAGCATCCACATTAGGTGGGTACTATAAGTTAAGCTTTCAAAGTGGATCAAAGTAGACAAGTGGACTGCTCCCTGCTCAGGTTGGAATCCTAAAGAAGGGATGATCAAGAGCTTGCCGAGCAGTGAGACGTTCAGATGGATCATACTTCAACAATCCATGCAACAAATCAGCAAGGGAGGATCTTGAAGAGTCTACGTGACGGGATACCAAATCCTGCATTAAACCATAATGGCATTATATGAATCTTGAAACTCTATGAATCATGAAACTCTCCAGCATTACCATATAAACAATGTACTAAACTGACCCTCCCAAAAAAAAAAGGGCAGAACTTGAAATGCAAAACCTTTAAACAATCTAGTTTTTTCACGGCTCTAATACTCTCCCTAGAAACTGCTCCTTCAGGCCAATTTAGTCGTGCACCTCGCTTGAAATATTTTTCTGCACCTCGACTGTGCAAAGAACCCAAAGAAGGCGGCAATGGGTGTAAGTACTTAAATTTGCACAAATAAACATTAAGCAGGTAAAAAAGCAAAGTGAATGAAGCAACAAATTTCACCACGCACTTGGCCCTTTGAACCATATGCTCTGGTAGAGGTCCTAAAACCCTCTCCATCATTGCCAAATGCTCCAAATTTTCATGTGTCTGAAACAATGCTTCACCCTGGAGAAAACACGATGCCACGTCAAGATTTTCTGACTAGATGATTCACATTCCAACAAAGCTAAAGAAATTTCGGACTAACCGAGCAAAGTTCAACAAGTATGCAACCTATGCTCCACATATCACACGGATAAGACCATCCTAGACCTACATAATTAGCAGACAGACAATTAAGTAAAGAAAAAGAATTACGGAACATCCTTCTGTGAGCAAGCAATAGAAGAGATGTTCTAGCCCTAAAAGAACACACACAGAGCAATAGAAGAGACACATACAAAGACAGCATGTAAAACACAACAGGTTATATTATAACTTTGACCATCTAATCAAAATTGTTGACAAGATCAAACAATGAAGAAGAAACTGTCTGCAAGCGCTGCAAATAAAGAAACAAGTGCGCACAACGTCGACCACTACAAAGTCTTGCTGCTCTCAGACACCAGCCCGTCCTTTTTCTGGTTGGAGTTGGAACAAAATAAAAATAAAGCAAATAAACAGCAGGAGCACATTTTCACTTTCCAGCACCAAATCAGTTACCTAGAATGACCTCAGGGGCTCTGTAATGCCGTGTAGAAACAATTGAGCTATGATTCTGGTTATCAAAAGCTGTACTACCAAAATCAATCAGCTTAATGGCACTAGACTTGGGCAAGAACCTGTATTGCATTTCTTCTGTAGAAACCCTCTGTACCATTTTCAAGAATTTTTTATATATTATAACCAGGAGCTTTTTTTCTTAATGAATACCTGAGTATAAAAATGGCGTGTTTCTACTTGTAAAAAGCTAAGTACCTTATATCCAGGAAGCTTTACATATTCAGAAGACACAAGAAGTATATTTTCTGGCTTCAAATCAGTGTGAATTAAGCGTAAGTCATGCATATCTGTCCGATATGATAAACAAAGAAACCGAGTCAAACAAAAAGTAACAAGGTTGGCAAGTTGGTTATGAACGCCCCTGAATACACAAAACAGTCCAAGAAACAGATTGGTGGGGAAAGTGAAAAAGAGAACTAGAACAAGAACAATGAACAATGAACAGACATGCTACTGATTCCAAAAGCTGTCGTCCAAATTCCCGAACAAGATCCAGAGGGAATGGTTGGTACTTATTTCTCTTTAGAAAATCAAATAAACTTGGTCCAAGCTTCTCAAATACCTGATAAAAGCATTAAAATGCATCCAAAGGAAGGTTTTTGTTTAGTTCCCAGTTCTATCAATAAAGCACGTCAAGAAACTATTATCACAGACAAACTACCCGGCTACGATATAGATCAAATACACAGCAGAACAAATTATCTAAACTTGTTGAGCTAAGCATGCAAGATCAGGCAGAGACAGCTACTGATGTGATAACAAACAACAAATTACCAAATTTGAAAAATTGGATTTATTTAGTTATTATTCAGGAACATCAGGAAAGCTAATTCAACAGCAATGTAAGGCAGCAATGAAGCCACTCTTTTCAACATAGATAAGCAATAGCAACCTATTAGAATGAAATTCATACTCTCAAAATCTCGACTTTCCAACCAGATGAAGGGATGCAATAAGACAATAAGATGAATAAAAGTTACAATCATAACTTAAATTGGCATACTTACTATACATATGTGATTTCGGTAATCAAACCAATTTCGTATTTGCACGCAGCTGCACAAAGAAAGCAGTGAAATTTAAGATGCCAGCACATGATCGACCAACAATCCTATCAGCTGAGACAGGGAAACATAATGTACCCTGAGCTGCCTTTGTCCTGCTTAGCAAGAAGTTGAAGTACATCAACCTCTATCATTGCCGCATCTCGATATTTTCTAATGCTTCGAACGACCTTGATTGCCACGTACTGCTTTGTTTGACGGTCCCAACATTCCAAAACTCGACCAAATGTGCCTACAGCACTAGCAACATGCTGAATGACAGAAGCAGAACGACAAAAACATAAAATCTTGTAGACAGCAGGACACTTGACAGCTAACCTTCACCCATTTTGCTGAGTATTTTGTCTGCCAAAATTACATGTAAAATAAAAATGTTCCCAGTCAAATACAGAAAATCTTGAGACAAAAAAAAATGACTAAAACATAATTATATAGAACTACGACCACTAATAAATGCACCACCAATTTTCAACGAGCTACAACTTAAATAATGATAACGCGATGCAGATTCTGATTGACACGCGAATGAATTAATGGTCATCAGAATGATAAAATTGCCACCCAGAAAGAGTATGCTAAAAAGAGAGCATATAGAGAATAAAAAGATTAACGCATATATGTATAATTAGCAACGGAAAAAGTAAAATGCTCCCATCTAGTAATTGAATTAGTATGGAGATAGACCAGCAGCCAAAAACAAAGAAGTAGGAGCACAATTTGGTCATCCAACATGATGTCCGTCAAAGCTAATTAATTACGAAATCCACGAAATAATGGAAAATGCTCCCGTCTAGTGATCGGGAGATAGACCAGCGTCCAAGAACAAAAAAGTGGGAACACATTTTGGTCATCGGACATGATATCCGTCAAAGCTGATTAATTAAGCAGTACATCACTGATTAGATCTGAAAATCCATGAAACAGTGGAAAATGCTCTTAAGCAGTACATCACAGATTAGATCTGGAAATCCATGAAACAGTGGAAAATGCTCTTAAGCCGTACATCACCGATTCGATCTGAAAATCCATGAAACAGTGGAAAATGCTCCCATCTAGTAATCGAATTAGTACAGAGATAGACCGGCGGCCAAGAACAAAGAAGTGGGAGCATAATTCATTCATCCAACAAGATATCCAAAAAAGCTAATTAAATAAGCAGTATATCATCGATTAGAGTTGAAAATCCAGGAAATAATGGAAAATGTGATAGAACGGCAGCCAAGAACAAAGAAGTGGGAACGCAATTTGATCATCCGATACGATATCCGTCAAATCCAATTAGTTAAGCAGTATATCAGCGATTATATTTGATAATCCAGAAAACAATTGAATCAATGACTTGAATTCCTGAAAAGAAATCAAATGAAGAGCAAGAAAGAAAGAAAATTGAACAGAAAAACTCACATCTCGGAGTGAGATTCTCGCCGAGATTGAAGACGTAATGGCCTTCGCGATCATCGTCCCGTTTCGGAGGGGATGCATGCCTTCCCGAGCCTTCATTACTCGGCACCAGAGCAGATTGCGCCTACAAAAGCACCAATATTTAAACCTCAACCAATTCAACAAACACAAAAAACCCTAACCGAAATCGGAGACCGGACCAACCTCCGGTTTAGACGGCCCTATGTCCCAGGCCGACCGAGGCCTTTTCCTGGTCCGCCCGTGCTCCTTCTCCGCTCGCTCAAGTCCGACCATTTCCGCAATCGGAGCTTATTTCTATGCGAATACAAGTATGTATGTATGTGTGTTTGTATCTGCACCAACAAAATCTGACAATCCGACAAAAGTTAGGGTTTCCAAGGCCTGAATTTCATACGAATCTGACCAACGAATTCATCTGCTTAGAAGAATAATCTCGTCGAACACTCCAAGAAGAGAAAGTCGACGAGAAAGATGATGAGGATTTGGATCGTCCCTAATAACGCAGTTTGTACGGTGGAGTTCCAGATTAGGGTTCTTTTTTTTTTCTTCTTTTACTAAATATTTATAGAGAAGTTTGCGGGTTTTTGCGCGAACCCACCAATCGTGTATTTCATGCTCGGTTCCGTTTTACGAAATCGAGATAAGATTTTTTTATAAATAATCATATTTAATTTTTTTATTATAATAAAAAAATTATATAAAATTACATTTTAATTTATATTAAAAACTCAAAACAGTAAATTAAATGAATTTAACGACATTTAAGTCTAATTTATTTTATTGATTCAAATTTAAAATTCGAGTTTTGTTACAATAAAAAATTTTAAAAAATTGTCTCGTCTAATTTTTTATTATAATAAAAAATTTTCATATAAAATCATATCTTAACTCAAATAAAAAAATTTAAATTAACACTTCTAATGGAAAAATTATGGTGATAACTGCATAAGTTAGAATTCAAAATTGCATGTTCAATTACAATAATAATGAGTGAGATTAATTAATGTTGTCATATACAAATTTGAAGTAATACTAGAAACACGTACTGGTGCATTTTTCCTTTTTTTTTTTTTTTGCTGAATAAAAATATATTTATTTATGAAACAAGCTCACTGAGCAACTTAGTAGTGACATAAGGGCCTACCATCCCCGTAGCAACAAATCCACTGAAATTAGCCTCAAAGCCCATCTAACGAAAGAGTCTGTAACCCCATTACAATTCCTATCTATCCATGCAAAAGATCCCACGTTCACATTTTTAAATAGTTCAACACAAACCAGAAAATGGGGAGTACATTACCACTGAGGGCACTGTAGGCCTTGAGATAAAGCGGACACTAACTCCAGACAATTACTTTCACAATCTATAGTTGCAGCACCTCTAACATGAGCAACTTGAAAGGCTCGAATACAGGCTACAACTTCAGCGTAAAAAGGAGACCTAGCTTGCTCAATACCAGTCCAGACAACAATCGGTTCTCCACGATGATTCCTAACACTGAGGCTAGACCTGCAACACTGTTGGGTAAGTTATTATTTTATGTTGTTGGGCGAGGGTTACTTTATGACTCATTAAGAGTTTATAAATAAGTGCTTTGTATAAGGCTTTGTGTGCTAAGAGAAAAATGTAGAGAAAGAGTGTCGCTTTTTGAGAAAAAAAGTGAGAAGAGATAGGCAAAGAGTGTAAGGGGTTTTGGATAGAGAGAGAAAATGATAAAGTTTATTGAGTGTGTAATTTTGAAACTGTTAATGAATTTTTTTCCCTCTTTCATGGACGTAGAAAATTTTTCTGAACCACTTAAATCTTTATTTTCTCTGTTTTCTGCTAGTTTTGTTTCAGTTTATTTTTCTGTTGTGTAGGTGTAGGAGTGTTTTTTCCTAACAACTGGTATCATAGCTATGGTGAAGATTAAAAAAAAGTCAAGATGATGCCCGGGATAAAGTTTGAGCAGATTGAGCGATTTGACAGAAAAAGTAATTTCAGCATTGGGCAGAGTACGGTGAAAAATGTTCTGATTCAGCAAGGATTACTGAAAGTGCTGCAAGATAAGAAATCAAAAAATATGAAAGATGAAGATTGGGAAGAACTAAAAGCGAGAGCTGTAAACACTTTTCATTTAAGTTTTGCTTATGAACTGAAATATTACGAATGAAACATCTCTTTCTGAGTTATGGAAAAAATTAAAAAAAAAATTATATGTCTAAATCCCTAATAAATAGACTGTATTTAAAGAAGCAATTGTATGAGTTGAAAATAGATGAAGAAAAGTGATGTTAGGAACCATATAAATAATTTTAATAAGTACATGACTCAATTGTTAAGTGTAGAGGTCAAAATGGATAAGGAAGATAAAACAGTAATTTTGTTGGCCTCTCTACCAAAATCATATGAGACTTTGGTGATTACACTGTTAGTTGGAAAGACGACGTTAATTGTGGATGAGGTGTCAACTGCTCTGTTAGAGACTGCAAATATGAAGAAGCCAAGTAGTACATCTTATACTAAATAAGTTTTAGTGGCACAGTCAAATTCGAATGGGGGAGATGTTATGATAAGAGAGATGATTGTTCCCAATCCCATCCAAGGAAGAATATTGAGTGCTATTATTGTCATAAGAATGTGCATATTAGGAGAAACTGTGAAGAACTAACGAATCATCTAGAAGAAAGAAGAAAGCAAGAAACCCAAGAAAATTTAGATTCTCCAAATGTTGTTGGCGATAAGTATGACAGTGAAGATGATGTGTATTCTGTTATTACTAATGAAAATATTTCTGACTCTTGGATCTTAGATTTTGGATGCTCGTTTCATATGTGTCCATATAAAAAGTAGTTTGATTCCTATAAGCTCTGTGATGATAGTACTTTATTGATGGCTAATGATTCTATTGCTAAAGCTGTTAGAATATGTACGGTAAAGGTGAATATGTTTGATGGAGTTGTGAGGACATTGACAAATGTTAGGCATGTTCCTCAACTAAGGAGAAGTTTGATTTCTTTAGGGGCTTTAGACACATTGGGTTGTGAGTACTATGCGAAGGGCAATTCTATGCAAGTCAAGAGAGGTGATTTAGTAGCCATGAAGGGTGAAAAATTGAAGAACTTGTATAAGCTGATTGGGACAACAGTTGTAGGTGGAGCTATGAATATGGAGCCACGTCAAGAAGAGTCTTCTTTTATTGTGAAAAAAGTTGCAGGAGTAAAAGAGTGCAAGAAGATGTTGATGATAGGTAAAGACAGTAAAGGCAATATGGTGAAAACTTATAGCAATGAAGATGCTTTGAAGAAGAAGAAAACAGTTTCTCGTGTCAAGTTTGATAAGAGTTTGAACTTGACACATGTTTATTATTGTTAAAGTTTGCATCATCATCGCCCCATCCATGAGGGGTGCGATGACTGGTGACGAAATTAGATACCTAAATATGTGAGTTTAGAGAATTTGAGTCAATGCGGAGATAATTAGGTAATTGCCTCAAATTGATTTTGGGAAAGTTATTATTTTAAACCAAATAGAAAGAAGCATCTTTATTTCACTTCAATCATTTTGGTCCTTATGCAGTAAAGAAAGCGAGGTAGGATATTGGCTAAGATTGTTAAATTTTGAAGTCTAATTATACCCTCACAATTGTTGTCTTATAAGTAGAGGATTGCACAGATCAATCTTATATAAAAGGGGCGCAGTTTTAGAGTTATAAAAGAGGTTAGAAAAAACACAAAGAGCTATAAGGTATGTCATTTTTTATAAACTATTTTTTCATCATATTAAACTACTGCAGTAATAAAAACATAACATAATCTTATATTAAAACGAACCTCTATAAATTTGTGTTTTCATTTTTAGTTAATTTTTTTTTTCATTTTTATTGTTCTCTGTAATATAGAATTAGGTGTTTTAATTATTAACAACAATTTTAATTGAATTTGTAAGTAATTAATATACGATCTTTCAAACCGCACAAATATTATCCTTACTATTCTAAATAATATGTCCAGTTTAAAACAAAATATTATTCAAAATTATACTCATCAATAATATATTTATCTTTTATTATAACTATTTTATTATTATTGTTCTTAAAAAATAATAATTCTTTAGTAGGTATAGAAAAACATAGACAAAGTCTTAAATTTAGCAAGTGGTGATCATACAGTCTAATAAATTTAACTGTTTTCGTATATACATATAACATCATTCATTTGTAAGTATATACATTTTTCATATGTCAGTGTAACACTCAAAGTAACATCTGTGAGAATATATTTATTAAATGTTACACTAAAATAAATTGGATGCACATACAAGCGATGTTACAAAAGCATATGATCATAAAAGTTACAAGCGTTTGCTTCGTCTGGGTGTCGAACTTATACTATTAATAGAATACTAATTTGATCGCTCAGTCTAAACCTATATCCAAATATATGATCTATACTCAGATAATATATATATATATATTTATATATAACTCATACTCCAATTATGACAATTTAAAATTATGTCACGTCGGTAAAGTGTTTTTTCATTCGTTAGGCAATAATACTCTCCTTTTAAAAAATAAGATTTTTTTTACAATACCATATCACATATTAATAACAGCGATTGTAACCGTGAGATTTTCTCAAAATCATATCAAAAATTTAAAATATATAAATATATGTAAAAAAAATTTACGGTATAAATTTGGTGCTAAAAAATAAAACTATGTCCATCGTGCATGTCAATTTTTGACAGGTCCTATTACATAAATATATTAAAAACCGATATATTACATTTTTTTTTTCTTTCGAATTTCTGTCGACATGGTTAGCTCATGATGTACCAATTGTGGTATCACTATCGTATTACTTATAAATAATTTAGAAAAGCAAAAAAAATCGTGACTCTTGAGAAACCCAAAGGGAGATTAGATAATAGAGACTAGAGAGAGAGGTGGGACCATACATTATACATACATGCGCAAGACCAATCCGGGAGGTGTTTTTCTTAAAAACCGGTGGCGCCGCCAATCAAGTTGTGTTGAGAACAGTCTGACTGCGTTACCTCCAGGAGCCTCTTCCCCTTTTTCTCCTTCCCTTCTCAACTCCTCCTACTCTCTTCTTCAGTTTCTCCGCCATTGAATTTGAAAAAAACAAAAAAACAAAAAAACAGAACAAAAGAAAAAAGAAATGCAGAGTCTGCAAGCGAAGGCCTCCGAGTGGAGCGGAGTCGACTCGGCCGACGCGTTCGCCATCGACGACACCAATCTCTTCCAGAAATTGGGCCTCCAGACCTTCATTAACCTCTCCACCAATTTCTATACCAGGTCTCTCTCTCTCTCTCTCTCTCTCTCTCTATATATATATATATATATGTATATATATATATATGTAATCTGTTTGGTCTTCGAGAAAAGCTGAAAAAGGAATTCTTTTCTATTTTTTATTTTGTTGTGGAACCTCTCGTTGTGAATGATATTTGAAGGCCGAAGTTTTGGTTTGTTTCATTCATTGTATTTGCTCGTCAAGTTGGGATTTTTAGGGTCTACTTTTCTTTTTTTTTTTTTTTTTCTTTTTTTGGAATTTAAATAAGTATACAAATATCTTCTTCTAGAGAAATCTGAATCCAATCTGCAATTTCTCAGCTGCTAAACGAAATTGTTGATTCGAAAAAATTGGATTTTTTTTTTTTTTGGTATCATGGCGAAATAGGGTATATGATGACGAGGAAGAATGGTTTCGGTCGATTTTCGCAAACTCGAAGAAAGATGACGCCATTCAAAACCAGTACGAGTTTTTTGTCCAGAGAATGGGAGGTCCTCCTCTCTATTCTCAGAGGAGAGGTACGAAAATCTTTTCGATTTTGAAATTTCTTTTCTTTTATTGTCTAATTTTTTGCTACTATTTATTTTTAGTTGAATATCGTTGATAAGTGTATTATTTATAAGGTTGGTTGAATGAATTGAGGATATTGAAGTTAATAACTGGGAAATGTGTGATTTTGTCAATGCAATGTCGATTATTCCTTGCGGGCCATAGTCCACACGTTGCATAAACTATTCTTGGTTGAAAGGAAATAGTGAAAACAGATTCTAAAAGTGCTAAATCCCGATCACCGGCTTTGTTCATCCCGAATTTTAGCTTGTGAATTTATCGCATTAAGCTCCTCACTTACCTTGCTGTCGGATAATTTTTATGATCACCAAAGAAATCTGTATGAAGGTTGAGTTCCGATCCATATTCAAGTCAAAACACCTTCTACTTAAAGACTAATTCTATATATTACAACAACAACAACAAAAAGCCTTAATCCCAATTTAATTGGGGTCGGCTATATGAATTTCACTTTTCCACCAGTTCTGTTTAAAATTAAACTTTCCTGAATGCCTAGATCTAGAATGTCTTTGCTAACTACTTCGGTCCACGTAATTGTTGGTCTACCCCTCCCTCTCCTAGTATTAGGAATAAGAATGTCCTCCCAAGCACGAATTAGTGCTTCTAGTTGTCTACGTTGGACATGCCCGTACCACCTCAAGCGGCATTCGCGCACCTTATCTTCTATTAGTGCTACACCTACTTTACTATGAATAACTTCATTCTTTATGCTATTTATTCTCGTATGGCCACTCATCCTTCTTAACATACGCATTTCTGCCCCACTCATCTTAGATATATGTTGTCTCTTAATGGCCCAACATTCACTACTATATAACATAGTTCGGCGGATTACAGTCCTATGGAACTTTCATTTCAATTTAATAGGCATCTTGCCATCACATAAAACTCTCGTAACATTCTTCCACTTAACCCACCCTGCCTTAATCCTATGTTGAATATCCTCTTCTATATCTCCTTCGTACTGCACTATAGACCCAAGGTACCTAAACTTCCTAGAAACCCCAATCTCCACACCATCTAAAGAAATTTCATCACTTTGATTACTTGAGTTACTAAACCTACAATGCATGTATTCAGTTTTTGTCCTACTTAACTTAAATCTCTTCGTCTCGAGAATCTGCCTCTACAGTTTTAACTTACGGTTAACTCCTTCTCTATGTTTATCAACTAAAACTATATCGTCCGCAAAAAGCATACACCAAGGAACTCTATCCTAGATTTCTCTTGTGATACCCTGACTCTAATTGAATGAACTCGTAATCAAATTGGGGAGAAATTAGCAGTCCAGACTGTTATTTTGATTTTCAGAGAGATCAGGGCTTTTACGTTTTTCCTTTTTACCTTTAGGTAGCATATATGCATAACAGTCCTGAATGCAAAAGTTTTAGATTCTTGAGTTGGTTGACTCTGGTGGGTTGAAGTCTTGATAAATTATTGTCCTTGCTATATTCTAACTAGCATTTAAGACACATTCAAACATCATTCGTTCAATAAGCCACATTTTTTATCCGATCAAAACTCCAGTTTTACTCGAAAAATAGGAGCAGCAGCTTGTTTCACCATTTGTTAAGTGCAGTTTGGTAATTCCCTTTTGATTTCCTTTTTGTCAGGCCATCCTGCTCTAATTGCACGTCACCGACCGTTTCCTGTAACACATCAAGCTGCCGAGAGGTGGTTGCATCACATGCAACAAGCGTTGGACAGCACCCCAGATATTGATGCAGACTCAAAAGTCAAGATGATGAATTTCTTCAAGTAAAACTTTTCCTAAAATATACCTGCTTCTATGGAATATCGCCCCCTGATAATAATGAGTTAATTTTCCTAAGTTTTTCCCATTCTTTGGTTTTGTTTTCAGGCACACAGCATTCTTCCTTGTGGCTGGTGATGAGTTGAAGAAGAATCAAACCCAGCAAACTCCTTGCAAACACGGGAGCAGCCAATAGAACACTCTTATCACTTGTGGGATTCGATAAATGCTTACTTATTCATCGAAACGGATTAACTTCACACCGATCTAAACTAGGACTTATTGAATACCTCTATCAATAAATCTTGCAATTTATATCTTCACAGCTCTGTTGGTTGGTTGCATGAGATGCCAGAACGGGCCGGCCCGGCTCGTTCTCCTTAGGTCCACGCGGGCCGTGGGCCGGGCCGGCCCAACCTATGAATTTTGTGGGCCGGCCTGACCCGTATAAGAATTACCTCGGCTCATCCCACACCATAGGCAATTTTACATGATCCAGGCTAGGCTGTGGCGTGAGCTATGATGGGCCGTGCCGTGGGCCAGGATGGAACGTGCTGTGGGCCAGGATGGGCCGTGCCGTGGGCCTTGAATGGGCTGGCTCATTCAAGGCCCATCATGGGTTTAGATGGGTCAACCCATCTAAGCATACAATTTTTAATTTTTTTATTTTTGAATTTTTAAACAAGTTAACAAATACAAAAATTTGAATAGTCAATGGAAATATAAAAAGGGATATTTTATTTACGATTGTCTCGTTAAATAAAAACCTTTCTAAGGAAAATCTAGTGAGATAAAACCTTGGTAAGGAAAAAATAATACAATTGGGATAATTATACATAAGATGTTTACAAAATTACTAAAAAAGAAAAAACATGAAGATATTATGGGCCTAGATGGATTGGGCTGGGCTTGCCCATTATGGGCCTAGACGGGCCGGCCCAACTTAGTCTGGCCCATAATTTTTTATGGGCCGTGTCAGGCCGGCTTATGGGCCGATATATGTTGGCCCAGCCCAATCCACTAATATTTATGGGTTAAGCCGTGCTTTAAATAGTGACGGATTGTGCTGGTCTGACTCGTCACTGTATTAGAATGAGCATAGGTCGGCCCACGGTCCTGGCCCGTTGTTGCATCTTTACATGATGCAAAAATGTATTCTTTGGTTATAGCAATCAGTCTGTGTAAGTTTCTATAGCATTTCACTGTGTTCCATGTTGTTGAATTGAATGGCTCAATAGGAAATCTTTCTATGTTGTATACAAAATGATGGGCTAATATTGGATATTTGATTATGATTTGAAGCAAAAACAGCATAATAGACAAGGGTCGATATTACTTGGTCGTGTCAGACTGCCTCTTCTGTGCACTTGGCGGCTCAAAACTCATTACTTTTTTAACCAAACTTTCTGTACAAGTGGTCGAAATGTTTGCTTTTAGATTCCCTTACCTTAAACACAACAAGGCTCTAATCCACTTTCGAAGCTTCGTCAAAGCCTTTTTTATTATTTTGATTGAAAAAAAAAAAGGAATTCCGACTCTAGTTTATTATATTGTTATTGTTGTTGTTATCATCGTCGTCGATGTTGTTATCATTGTATAAAAAAATAAATGAATTTAAACTTGAATCTGAAATTAAGTTTGAGTATGGTTATGGTTAAATCCGCAACCACCTTACATTACAATTATTATTTCTAGAACTTGTAAAGAATGACTAAACATTAATATTTATCAAGTTCAGTGGCTATAATTTAATGTATCTTTACATAGGAAGATTTTATGATGATATCCAGACTTGATCCCAGGGTGGAAAGTGGCGACTGTATAGCGAGTAATAATGTACATAAATTTCTCATAATTTCTTCTGATGTATAGTTATGGAGGATACTTAGGCCTCGTTCATTTCACCGATTCGAGTTTTCAGTTTTAGGTTTTTATAATAAAAAACTTTCAGAAAATGTTACATCTAACTTTTTCTACTACAGTGAAAAACTTTCAGAAAATGTCACATCTCAACTCGAATTGAAAACTCGAATCCGCGAAGTAAACGAGTAGTTAATGATTGATTATGTAATTCCATGTTATTATTGCCACATGATGATCCTCATTATTATCATGAGCACAGCCGATATAAGATCTTTTAAATTCTCTGGTGCTGATTCCATACTGTTCATTGCGGGGTTTTTTTTTTTTTTTTTTTTAATTTCTCTTCAAACAGAGCTTGGGGATTTTTTGTGATTTAATGAATTTATGAATACTATACTTCATTTCTGCTCACAGGACTAGATGTCCAAGTCAAGCGAAGGAAAAAATCTTAGATGACCAAGCTCACGTGCAAACGCATATGAACAGCAAAAACATATATTAATGTGCCTCTGTTAGTGGTGAATATGTGGAAGTATTTTCTACAGAATATATATATATATATATTGGTCGGACAATGGTAAAGAATTGTGAGCTCAAAGATTGCCATTTCTCGCTTGCCATACTCAATCACGTGGGTGTAGATCATGATATTAGTGTTACTATTCTAACTTTTTAAAGTAAATGTACTATCTATTTATTTATTTTATTTGGCAAGTTGGTTTTGGCATGGCCTTCAAAGTTCATAAAAACCCCTTTAACAATCGCAAACATAAATTTAAGAAATCGTTCGTGAATTTTAGGGCTCGTTTGATTGGAAGGTTCAAGGAAATTTGAATGCATATTCAAATTTAAATGAAATCAGTATTTGTTTGTAAATTTTTTTTTTTTAAGAATTTGAATCTCTTGATGCGACATTTAAACCCTCTAAATAAAAAGATTTATAAACTCAAATTTCCCTTGAGTTCTTAAGGTTTGAAACGTTTAAACTCGGATTTAAATCACACAGTTAAAAACCCACATTATTTAAATAATTTAAACTCATTTACCAAATGAATCCTTAATGTCTTGGGATTAAAACTGTTATAAGGAGTAATAGTGGATAACTCTAATAAAAAGCAAAATCTTTATCCCTTTGGCCTTAGGACAGCCATAAAACTGTAGAGAACTAGGAAAGAGATATGATTAAGCCCTGTTTTGCAGGATTTTTAAGCCCCATGCTTGTGTAATGATGCAAACAGATTCTCACCAAACTAATATAAACAGTCCCACCTCATGATTACGCCCATCAATTGATTATTTGCACATTTCTGTAATCATCATCATAGGAATCTCCTTTCGAGAACAACATTAGAAAGAAAAACCATTAAAAATTCAATTTACCCATGACTGTAAAAACGGTTCACTTCAAATAAAGAAATAATCAAATAAAAGTATTGACCGCCACTATATGCATGTGTGACGGGGAGATGAGAAAATTTGACACCACATTTACACCAGCCAAGAAAACAACTAATTCTAGTGAAAAAAAAAATATTATTATTTATCACCGGTGGTGATCTTTCTATTGATTTTTAGTAAGTTAAACATTAACATCTAAAATTATGTGGGAGCTTTGTGTTATAATAAGTAAATCCCAAAGTTAACAAACAAAATTGTGTATACAAAAACATTCACTAGTGGTGATATATCTGTATTATATTATTCATTTTTTTTAATTTAAAAATTAGATATTTAAACTTTGTATCTTATGATAAAATTAGATGTGAATTTATCGTTAGGCTATGTCTGCAACTACTTGAAATTGCTCGATTCAATTATCTCAGATTTCTAAGTTGAAATTTTCTACTGTGATAAACATATACTCAACATTTGTCATCTCCTTCAGTTTTACTTCTTTCTCTCTATAAAGAAGGGTCATAAAACATAATATGAAAATGATAATTCTGTGCTCAAACCTATGGTTTAGCAGTCTATAACTTTATGGTCAACAAATAAGAAGTGCACTCTTTATGCTTTTCTAGTTCTGGCTGATATGTTTTTGAAAATTCTTTAGCAACATTACTAAATATCCATATACCATCTGTTATAAAGATTTGAGGATGTCGCTTCAGCTTTAGAAGTGGCCATTTTTTTATGCATTGGAACTTTTCTTTTGGAGGTTCAAAATCCAAGCAATACTTAGTGGAAAAGTTATTTTCCCTCCAATAACCATGACCAATAACATAAATAAAAAACAACCTAAAGTAACAATTTAAATTCCACAAGATTCTCTTTTACCACGTTCTCTTCCACTCGTGAGTTAATAGAGGGGGAAAAAAAAAAGGAAAAAGTTGCATGAGAGGCCTCTGAAAACATCTTTAAATTGCCTTGTGATCAAAGTAAGGTAAAAAAAAAAAAAAAAGAAAAAAAGTTCCTAAAACGCATTCATGCTTTTCTCTTTGTCTTGTGTTTTTCCCATTTGCATTGAGATTTGAGAATCATCATAAACTAAGGTCAAAACCCAGAAAAGCATACATAACTTAATTATTTTCCTCAACAAAAATTTTTATTTTATTTTTACTGTTTCCATAGGCTCCTAACAAACAATTTGTTCATGGCCGCAACTTGCATTTCAAAAAAATCCACAACTTGGAATAAAACAGGTAATGTTTGACCCGGAAAGTGAAAATGAATCATCTAATCTGAAAAATCCTATTACCTCTATATTTTCGTATGCTTACCACAGTCATTACGATATTACAAGTCAAAAACATAAACCAACATTAGAATCCAGAAAAGATGGAATTAAGTTCCTAAAAAAAAAAAAAAAGTGAAGAGAAAATGCAATAGAATCATGTATCTCAATTCTTTTTTTTTTTTTTTTTGAAAAAAGAAAGAACAAGAAGAAAGATCAAAATGGTGTACAACAAGAAGTTTTCCGTTGCCATGATCAACATTTCTCTATTCATGACATCAATCCAACAATACAATATTTTTTGGGAAAATTCTAGAGGGATCAGCAAACCGAGCCGAGAAGGAGCGAGAGAGATAATCGGGCTCTTCCCACCCCATTCCTTGATCAAAATTCTTGGAATACGTGGTGGGATCATATGAAGGCTGCAATCTCACAGAAGAACTTGAATACAACTTGTTCTTTATCATCACCATCTTCTTCTTCTTATTCTTGTTCTCCATGGTCTTGATTTTCCTCCAAAACGATCGCCAACCATGTTGCGTCGACACGTCGTAGCTCTTTCCCAATACGATGGCTCTGTGATCGCCTAAAGAACAATTGCACCACTCTTTGATTCCCATTGCTGAAGAAAGAGCAAGATTTTTTTTTTTTTTTTTTGTGTGTGTGTGTGGAGCAAACTTTTAATGTTCTTCTACTTATGAACCAAGCTGGTGAGGCTTTTGGTTATATATATAGTTGTAACGTGACTTCATGATGCAAGTATTTTATTTTATGACTTGTTAATTAATTGGTGCAAACACGGTGTGGAAATAGTATTATTATGTTTTGTCCGTGTAAATGAAAAAAAAAAGCAAACAAACAAAAATTAGGAAAGTGATTAGTATAATAGTATATGTTTAAATTTTAGCTTTCGTAGATGGCTTTAGTTTTGACTTGACTCAACTCAACTCGGCTCAGAGTTCAAAAGATGGCACAATTTGACATTTCGTCCTCAAATTTGTGAATATCCAAATATCCATTTTCTAGTAATAAATAAATATAAATACAAAAGATACTTGTTTGAATAAATCCCATTTTTAGAAACCCTAAGCATGATATAAGACAAAGGATAAAGATTAGATTTTAGGATGTGATCTTCAGCTACTACGGCTTAACCAACACGAGAGCAAACTGCAAAGTAAGTCGAATCTAGAAGCCGTCACATCAGAGACATTATTTTTTTTTTCTTTTCTTACTTTAATAAGTAGATCAGCAATGCAAATTGCAAACATTTTGGTTAAAAGGATGTGAAATATAAAAAAAGGTCAAAGTGATACCGCCGAAAGAGTCATTGATTGCTAGCCGCCTTCAATGCCTACTCCCCTACCTTGCTCTTTTCTATGAAAAGGGCATGTTTTTTTTCTTTTTTTTTTTTTGGTAAAACAATTCAGGTCGATTGTGTTGAAAGTTTCCAAAGATCAAGAGCAGCATACTTTGAGAAAATTCAAGCGTGATTCGGCAAGTTTGAAACTGTTTTTTACCCTTTTTTTTTGTTTGTTTTCTTTGTTGGAAAATTATGTGGTAAAGTACAAAAAATACTACGAGCAAAATACATATTAAACTGTTGCATCATATAAAGAAAAGTATATAATTTAATGGAACTTTATAAAACTCCGATGCTTCATAAAGTAACATTATCATAGATTTATCCATCCTATAAAGTGCCATGGCCAAACTCACGTAACTAAGCTCTCAAAAGAATTTTTTTAAGTTTGAACATAGTATCATAAGTGAGAAATGAAAACATTCTTCTTTTTTATTATTATTACTGCAATCAAGTAATGTAATAGTTGATTTGTAGTTTTTTATCTAACGATGTCGAAAATAAGAGTAACTTGATAGTTAGACTGACGCGTCACTTTAATAATTCAGTACTCCAATATTACCAACTTTTTCTAGTAAAATTAGTTCCTCATAATAACCAGGACATAAATATGGCTGCAGAAAGCATACAAATACAACCATGTGGTCCAAAATTGCAATCCCCAAGGGTTGGTAGCAAGGGGGTCCAAAAATTTATAACCATGTGATGTACGAATAAAATGGCAGAAGAAAGTTTTCCCCTCCCATGTATACATGTGCTTGAATGGCAAAAGAAGCTGGCTGGGGAGGGGACCAGACAATTCATACTATCATTGGCTAAGGCCTAATGGGCATTCCAGACCCCACTTGAGGACCCACAAAAGCAAGGGTGCCAACCATAAATTGTGAAAAATATGTGGCACCCCTAGTGCTAAACACACCGCCTAGACAGGCCCATTTGTGATTACGAGACCGATATTCTATTAATGGATGATGCGCAACAGTCAGCACCACCTGTGGCTGCCCTATAGTTGAAATTGTGTGTATTTCACAAACATGTCATAGAAGTTCTTTAATGACAAATTTAACATTAGCTAGAACAAAAGCGTTTAAAACAGAGTGACAACAAAAGTTTACATTTAACTTTCTGAGAATCACAGTACTTGCCTGTGCTTTGGGCTCGTGTGGAAGGCTACAAAGCCTTTTGACAACAAAATTTTCCACACAACTGCACAAGAACAAAGATTAGTAACAATACAACGCCAAAAACATCTTTCTATAGGCAAAAAACTATACTTAAATAAGGTCCGAATCGGCCAACAACGGCGCCGACTAAGCATTAAGGCCACCATTTGATTTATGTGACCGTGTAATGGACCTCAGCTTTTCGTAGCCATCCGAGCAGGCTTGAGAGTAGTCTGACATGGCACGGAAAATCTCAGGCAGTCGTGTTTTGAGACTCCCTAGTGATTTTTCTCTAACCTGGAGACAGTGTTTCTGATGAGCTTCAATTTCCTCTTCCAATCTCTTCTTCAAGCTGTCAACAACAAATTGCTTTTCTGAGACGGGATCCTTTGTATTTGCATCTTCACCTCTTTCTGGGTCCATTTCGTCGGGCCCCCTCCGCTGCATGTGCTTCTGATACCAGTCTTCGAATGCCTGGTTTCTACGCAGATACTCCTTTCTGGTTTCCTCGCACTTCTCCTTTAGCTTCATCTCTTCCTCCTGATGAAGTATGATGGTCTTTATCACAGCGGCGAAGGAAGAAGCCGCAGATTTGGCAAGTTCATCAGGAAGCTTTTCGAGTAGGTCATGCCACGAGTGGAGAAGGGCTTGAATTGGGGGATGCTGAGCTCTCGGTGGGGATGAAATTATCTCTTTTAAGCTACTCTCGATGGGAACAAGGTTTAACTTCAGCCAACTGTTAAGAGCCTGGATATATTGTTTTTGATGAGTAACAAGCTTTTCAAACTGAGAATGCCATTCTTGGATAATATTATAAAGTTGGACTGTACGGTCATGGTGCTGCTTCGTTGTTTCCTTAGGAGCGTGGGCAAGGTCAAGGCCCTTAAGGTCTGTAACAATCTTCAGCTGACTATCATGGTGTATGCACATGCTTTCCCACATTGTAGCCATCCTGTGGTACAGATATCAAATATTTATGGTCATGATCAAATTGTAAGCACGGTCCCGACTAACGCAGACAAACACAAAATCTATATCCGTGAGGGGTTTCTAGAATGAAAACAAAGATTAAGTTAAGTATTAGAATGGATAGTGTGAGAGAGACTTCTTTTCAATGGTGAATCATCTTTTTACTGCAAGTCAAGAGAGTGTCTGCATGATTCCACTCGCATTTATATTAGCTAAATTGATATTACAACGGTTTAGGCAATGTCAAATAGGTCATGAGAAGAGGGAAATCAGTTGGCTCTTTTATCATGTTCAGTTCGGAAGAATCCAGGAGTTCTCAAGTTATGAAAAAAAAATAAAAATCCCTAAAAAAGTTAGAAAAAAAAAAAATTCTGCTATAAACTGCACAAGTACTATAATCAGAAATGGGGCTTTAGTCTAATCTGTAAATGCTAATACCAATACATTTTGGCTCTTGGTGCAAAACAAAAGATACGAATATGGAAAACCTATAATCTACTCAGGCGTCAGACAATAAAATATGATAGATAGTTCAGAAGCAATAATCAAATATCTTAAAGAGAGATTTTTGTTTTCAGAACTCACCCATCAGCGAGACTAACAAGTTTTGGGTATAACTGCTCATCACGTAACTGATTTACTTCTGATACCGTAGAATCCATGGACTGCATGTCAACTATATATCTTGTATGCAAATGACTCACAGCTGCTTTTGTTTTCTCCAAGGTCTCAGCACTCACATTCCGCTTCTTTTGCTTGTTCAGCAATGCAACTTTCCTCTGATACTCTAGCTTCATAAGCTCACCTTGCTACCAAAGACAAGGACATTCACAAAAGTTTGAACGTATGAGAATAAAAAGACCAAAAATAAAAACCAGCTTGCACATTTTTATGCGCACCATATCCATGTTAAACTGAGAAGGAAAAGCCTTCCCGTTAAGAATTAGATTGTGCCTATAGTTACTCCACAATTGGGGTTTATAGAAAGGGACCACCATGACTAAAAGCTATTGCAAAAAAAGAGAGAAAGGGGCGACCAAACGGGCGTACCTTCACTTCATCGTAGAGTTTCTTTTCCCATGCTAACATCTTGTCCAAAACAGTGGCATGAGTTTCATATTCCTCTGAATCAAATTCATCCTTCCCACCATCTCCGTTGGGTATGCCTTTGAACGATCTATTCCATGTAATCACGCGCATCACCCTCGCAGAATGATCAATATGTCCTGCATAGCATTCAAGAGAATTAAGTTTTACAAAATGATATATACTAATACCCCACATTGCACAAAGTAACTTTCTCCCAAAGACTCAATAGATAATCCAATCTTCCATTTTACTTGCACTGAGAGAAGCATCTTGATTTTCACTAATGTAGAAATCAATGACAAAAATCTTGGACATAGCACCCTTCTCACCTTCTGAAAAGAAAGCAGGAGAAAACATGTACCTATTCCAGTTGAGAATCTCCAAAAGTTCATATGAAAAATTTCTTGTGAAAAACAAGGATGTTTCAGCATTCATAGGAATCTTGAGAAAAAAAGAACCAAAAAAAAAAAAAAGGAATTCCAACACAAGCAAACAAAAGTAGTAAAGTACTCATCGAATTGACCATTACAACATGTGAACTGATACCAAACATACGCAAAACATAATAATAAATTCGTAGAAAGAAAGAAGAAGATCATAAACCTCTATTATCTGCGAAATTGGAGTGGTAATGCAAGCGAGTGGCCTCAAGCATCTTGGAAACCTCCTGAGCTCCTTCCGAGGCCTTCAAGAAATGGTCATCAATCTGGTTAAGCACCTGCACCAAGCTCACGCTCGCCGCCATCGCCTTCCCGACCCTTCGGAAATCCGCCGGAGCCGTGTGCGAATGCTCGATCGTCACCGCCTCCGCCGCCACCGTCTCCTCCGCTTTCTTATTCTTCCCCTCCGTATCCTCCGCCACCGGCGCCACCTTCTCCGGCGTCTTCGGCTCCACCTCGACCACGCCGATCTTCTCGTCTTCTCCGAATTGCACACCCTGATGTTCGCTGTTCTCAACCCTAGCCTCCTCTTCTTCCTCCGTCTCCAGCGACGACTCGGGGATATTGTCCACCATGAAGAAGTAGTCCCACGCCATTCCTTTCGACTCCGGCATTGGCGGCACCGACTTCATCTCCGGCGTACGCAGCGACGACGTCGCCGCCGTCGCTGGAGAAGCCTCCGGTGCCGTCTCCTTCCTCGACCGCCTTAATCCGTTGTGCTCTTCCTCTTCCTCCTCTTCCTCGTCTTCTTCAACAATAGCGATGGAATTAGGGTTTTTCCGAAGCTGCATCGGGATCTCAGGCATCGTGACGGCGCGCTTAAGCTGGGGGCTAGGACTCGGAGAGAAGTTCGGTAGCGGCGGCGGCGGAGGGAGGTTCTCAATCGGCGGCGGAGGAGGAGGCCGCGGCGGCTGGGAAACCGGTTCGAGCGACTGGTGAAGCTCCGGAGCCTCCTCGGACTCTCCGTGGGCGTAGTCGCTGAGAGCGGCGCCGGTGTTCTTTAACGCGACGGCGTAGCCGGAATGGCCGGCGGCGAAGGCGTTTCTCGCGACGACGGCCTCCTTCATCAAGATTTTCCGTTCCTTGCACCGGGAAACCGACTCTTCATTCTCTATTCTCGACTGCGCACACCCCATTTTCCCCCCAAAAAAAAAAGAAGACTCTTCTTAGCTTCCAAATTAGCTTCTTGACATTACCATTCAGAAGACTGATTGATTCTTGCTATCCCAAAAAAGCAAAAAATGCAGTGAAATGAAGCGAGAGAAACAGATAATCTGGTGGTTTAGAGAGAGAGATGAGGAAATGTTGTCTGGCATGAAAAAGCAGAAAGAGAGAGAGAGAAAGAGGTATGGTGGTTTAGAGAGAGAGAGATGGTGTTTAGAGAGAGAGAGAGAGAGGAGCGAGACAGAGAGGAAGGAAGTAATGCTGAAATGGGGGTTTAGAGAGAGAGAGAGAGAGAGACAGGGAGGGATAGTGCCAAGCATCGTACAGAGGATTGAGCAGAGAGAGAGGGAGCAGCAGCAGTGAGCAGAGTGTGGGGAAGAGAAGGTAGTGTGTTGTGGACGCGCCGAGAGTGTGGGAAGTTTTGGGTACTCGCTGGGTTTGATTACGAGGTGTCACAATCTGATATTTTTTAAAATAACGGTCACATTCTTTGAGGGTTTTCCCCGGTTTTGCGTATGAAATGATGGCGCCAGGCATAATGCAAATTTCTACTTGTACATATCCACTTCACCGAACAAGGAAAAAAAATATGAAAATTAACGTTGTATATATCAACGAAGTTGAAATTAACTCATAAATGACAAAAACTTCTTCGATTCCTATGAATTTATCTTTTGTTGAAAGAAAAAATCTAGATTTTTTAATTGTTAAATTTAGACAAAGTGTTAAGTCCCGCACTCATAAAATATTGATAAATGTATCATTTTTTTGTATTCTTCTCTTGTAATATAGTTTATACATTTATGTGGAACATTCATTTTATTTAAGTGTAATATTTAATATTATATAGATTGAATTATGTTTTAAAACATTACACTTAAATAAATTGAGTGTTACACACAAAAACATATAATAATACATAAAAATACGGATTGGTCTGCATGTTAGATTTAAGGAATTTTTTAAATTTATAAAATCCACTTATTTTTTAGATAAAATTCATAACACAAAATTAATTATAGAGATTTTCTGATATGTTGATGTACCGGTAAGTTAAGTTATTATAATTATTAGATTTATGTATTTTTTAATTTTTATATGATTTTATATAAATTTAAAGGTCTCAACTAGTTATGCCAACAGAGGTGATTATTATTTGTATAAGATTGATGGTGTTGTGATTGTAGACATAGTAGTCTGCAACAACAATTTTATATCTGACTTTACTAGAGGTAGAATTTAGTAAATTTCCTCACCATCAGTTAAAGAAACAAATGATACTTTGAGAGAGAAAATAACTTGATCTTTGATTTTGCTTTTATTTACGTCAATCCAACTTTAATATTTAGAGTGAATTTCTTTTTGCTCATGTGCAAGTAACTCTTTCATCTTCAATATAGGTTGTAATAATTTTTCGAAATGTACATATATTTTTCAATATACTTGTGGTATTTTTTTTTTTTTTTGAACGGGATTTTGGTAGTAGTTTTGTTTGTGAATCAAGTTGATAAAATTTGGTATTTGGTGGATGGAGCCGGTGGAAGATTTTTGACCCATAATTAGTGATCACTTTTTAATTTTGGTCTTGCATAAAGTTATGGATTAATGATGCCAATGCTACCTTTCGGTATTTTCTTCAACGGTTCAGAGAAAAACTCTCTCTCTCTCTTTTGCCCAACAAATATGTTTCTTACTATTTACCTACTAGTGACTATAGTGATTTTCTAAATCACATATGGTATTACAATAGATTTAGAAAGAATAAAAAGAAAAATGCAAATCACCCCTCTAATAATAAAAGACATTTTGCCCCCTTTTGGCCACCAAATACACTCTAACAATAAAGGTGATTTGCGACGACACTTTTTTGCGACAACATTTGTTGTCGCAAATAGTACAATATTTGTGACGATATGTCGTCGTAATTACTCCCCGTTTAATAAAAAAATCATGTCGTCGCTAATAACTTAAATGTCATCGCAAATAACTTAAATGTCGTCACAAATAATTTTAGAGCGCAAATTTTAATGGCGCGGATTTTTGCCGCCAAGGTAATCCATTTTTTGCGACGACAAATATCGTCGCAAATAATTTAATGTTATTTGCGATGACATTTTCTCTTTGTCGTCGCAAATAATCTTTTTAAGATTTCACCAAAAATGAAACGCGGGAAAAATGATTATTTATGACGGCTTAAAAATTATTTGCGACGACAAAGAGAAAATGTCGTCGTAAATAATTGGACGTATTTGCGATGACATTTTAAATTTATTTGCGACGACAATGTCGTCGCAAATAAGTCTGATCTAATATACCCTATCTTCTTCTTCTTCATTTTCCCCCGACGTTTTCTCTCTCTCTCCAGTAAAATCTCTCTCTCTGTGCCTCCTCTTCCCGTCGCCGCTGGCCCTCTTCTCTCTCTTCCCTTCTCTCTCCCTCTCTTCCCTTCTCTCTCTCTCTCTTCTGATCCCTTCTCTCTTCTTCCCCTCTCCGGCAGCCGCCGGCTCTCCCGCCGCCCCGCCCCGCCATGACTGCTCAGCTCACCCAGCCCTACCGCGACCGCCCCAACGAGGGCTCGCTTTCCATCTTCACCGAGTTCTCTCCCGTGGCCGATCCCTCCTTCGAGCCCGGCCGCCCCAGCCAAGCCGCCTCGAGCTCGGTTGCGTCATCGACCGAGGCCTTAGGTAAATAATGACTTCATCCTTAGCTGTTTTTTTTAATGTGTCAATTTTATGAAAAAAAATTGAATTTTGATTTCTGTTGATTGGGGTGAATTAATGGAGTATCACGTGCTTCTGAGGAGGCACTTGCCCGCGCGCGGGGTGGCACTGGCGCGCGCGGGGGTGGCACGGGCGCGCG